TTCTGTGGACTATTTGGACTGAAAGGAACCATCGAATTTTCCAAGCTATGGAGTGCACTTTACATGCCACTTTTGAATCCATTGTTTTTTTGGTCATTACTTGGTGTAAATGCTCCCCTCTCTTTCACTCCTATAGCTTTGCCTCCATGTTAGCTAATTGGAGAGCCTTTTTGTAACCCGCCTGTGGGTCTTCCTTCATTTTGTACTCTTCTCTCGCCTCTCTTTTTCATTTTATCAATGAAATCGTTTCAGTTACCAAAAAAAACAAACAAAAAAAAAGTTATCCTCACTGAACAATAATGTATCATCCAAAAACTAGGGTGCAAAATGAGACAAAAGAGAGGAAAAAACCCGATGAAACTAGTTAAATTGTGGCAGTTCAATGAGCTTGAGCATTATTTGTTGGATAGATTTTATCATAATAAATATATTCGGTTTTGATCTGGGCAGTACATTCACCTTTTTTTTTCTTATACTAAGAGGTCAATTTTGGATGTGAGTTTTGGCCGAAAATTGAGCTGAACCAACTCACTTACACCCCCCTACAGAGTGGTTACGGGTGTTAAATGTTAATAGAGCATTGAAACAACCAGGAGTGGGCTAATTAACTATTGGTAGAAATAAGGTGTGTCAAACTCTAACACCAACCAATACCGGTTGGCAAAAGAAAATAAATCCAAAGGGAGGAAGAATTCAAAAAAGTTGTAGAGAGTTTTGATTTCTGAGATCAACTTAATAAGAAAGAGCATGAAATTATCTTAGATCAGAAAGTCATGACAATAAAGAAAAGAAGTCCCTTTAAGTTGGGAGGAACAATAAGATTTTTAACCAGAAGGGAAAATCCGTAGATTATTTTTATTTCATAGAAACTTGTCTCTCCTTCAATAATTATAGTGTTGATACTCTTCGTGCTACTCGAAAGAGTTTTTTATTATCTACATTGGCCCGTGGTTTGGCTTTCATGATTTTGTTTCTTTAATTTCATATCATCTATAGAAACATTTCTAAAAAAAATTTTTACAAAAAAAGCCTAGTTAAAAGTAAGGAGGATTCATTACCTATGATGATTAGAATTTTGGTTCACTGTAGTCATAATCAAGGGGTGAAAGCCATCCAAGTAGAAGTATTAGCGTCTAGGCTCAGATCTGATGTGAAGTATCCTGCATGAATCATTAATTTGGTGTTTAAAAGTTGATCAGAGCAATTTACAAACATATTTAGTATCAGCGAGAAAATGGCACCCTCATATTAAGCTACTAGAAAACATAGTAAACAGAACTGAACTGACCTACCAATTGATGGATGAATAAAGTGGTAAACAAAAGGAACATTTGTGATATAATATTGCTGAAATGCATGTGGTTGCAAGCACTAAAATCTATCATCAGGCACCAATCCTCTTTGCAGCATTTCATCATGGAAACGAAATGCATCCTTCATATTGTCTTGGCTGACATGACCATTTATCAGAGAAGAAAAAGTGGCTCTGTCAGGATTTATACCATTCTCGATCATTTTCCTTAACACCTGCTCAGCTTCTTTCATTCTTCCTTGTGCGCAGAATCCATTCAAAATTTCATTATATGTAATAACATCTAGTTGGATCCCTTGTTTTTCCATCTCATTCACCAAAACAAGAGCTTTTTCTACATTCCCTTCTTTTACATATCCATCAATAAGGGTATTATATGAGATGCTATCAGGAGTTATTCCATTTGATATCATTTTGCTCAAGCATGCATACGCCTTTGACATATCACCAGACCGGCAGTGGCCCTTAATTAAAGTATTGCAAGTGATGAGATTGAGTTTAATACCCTGTTCAACCATCTGTTCGCACAAACGCAATGCCTCAGATAAATGACCAGAATTACAGAAACCATTAATTACAATTCCATAGGAAATGTGGTTAGGAAGAATATCTTTCCTGGTCATATCATCCCACAGCTCCTTAGCTCTCTCCACTTCACCTACTTTGCAAAAGCCATCAATCAATGTGTTGTACGTCACAATGTCTGGCTTGAGGTTCGTATGAATCATCGTTCCAAACAAATTCAGCGCTTTATCCATATTGCCATCCTTGCAATATCCATTTATGAGTGTGGTGAAAGTATAAAAGTCTGGAAACACACCCCTCTCGACCATTTCATTAAACAGCATCTCTGCGTCAACATACATCTTTTTCTTGCATAACCCATTCAAAATAGTATTGTACGCAACCACATCCATAACACAGCCCTGAGCAAGCATCTCGTCCCGCATTTTCAGAGCATCTGAAATAGCACCATTTCGACAAAACCCATCTATAAGTATAGTATAAATTACATTATCAGGCACTAGGCCAACACTTTTCATATCTCTAAAACACAGACAAGCCCGATCAAGATGCCCATTCCTTGAAAGCACACCAATCATAGAACTAAAGCTAATTAGATCATGACGCACGCCATGACGTGACATTTCGTCAAAGATCTCTCGAGCTTCTAAAATATCATCTCTTCGACAACTCTCAACAAGCAAAGTGTTGTATGTAGTAGTATCAGGCCTTAACCCAAGTTGCAACATCTCATTCAAAACGTGCTTTGCGCTGCTGTACTTACCCGTCTTGCACAGGCCATTTATGATAGCATTATAAGTTAGAATGCCTGGTTCCATACCCTTACTAGAGACTAAATTCAACAGCTCAAATGCTTCTTCAACAAGTCCTTCACGACAGTAAGCACTAATTAGAGTATTATACGTCACAATGTCCGGGAAAACTCCTTTCTTTTCCATATCTGATAAGAACAAATTCACATTCTCAATTTTTCGATCTTTACATAAAGCATTGACCATTATATTCAATGTATAAGCATTCAACTTAATACCCCCTCTCACAACTTCCCCATATATTTCCCAAGCTAAATCGACCCACCCAATCTTCACAAGACCACCAAGGAGACTATTACAAGCATTTATGGAAACAGAAACACCTTTGCTCCTCAATATTCGAAATGCTTCGGATCCTTCTCTTAACTTTCTAGCTTGCACATAAGTCCTTACCAACAAATCGAAAACCAAAGGAATCGACCCGAAGCTATTACACGTCGAAACTAAAGATTCAACGACCTCAACCCGTGAGACGCCGCTCTTCCTCACCATCCTAAGAATCAAAGCTTGGGCTTCGGAAAGCCTCCCACCGCGCACTAAAAAATGAATCATAACACTCAAAGAAAGTGACGAGTGCTTGAAATTCGGGCAGTTAGAAGAAACTAAACCGATAAATCGTATGCCCAACTGTACATTTTCACGACACGAAAAAAGAACCTCAACTAACTGCGAAGCGTTGAGGTGGAACAAGGAAGTGGACAAAGAACTTACGTTATTCTGCTTCAATCCAAATAGAATCTTTTCAACTAGGAACGAATTCGAGGAAGAGACAGGTTGATGATCAGAAGGTCCCGGATCAGTATGAAGTTTTGATAGCGAAAAGATAGAGTGAAGTCTGAGAGAATTGAAATAAGCACGAACTCGAAGTAAAGGTTCTACATCTGTAAATGTTAATGCGAGGGTTCTAGCTCTGAAAGTGAAATTTAGGTGAGGAAGTCGATTAGCTGCCATTTGAGTGCAGCTCATAGCATGGAAAATGGTTCAGAAACTGTGCTGCCAGAGAAACGAGAAGTGACTCCAGGGGTTGGGCAATCAACTGTTCGATTTGTCAAGGTTTAACATTGTTTATGCAACAAACTGAGTCAAGTTCCAACTCAGTATCTCCTGCGCATCAAAAAAATCAAATCCACCAACAGTCAAACAGACCACCCAATCAAGTAAAACGCAGAACAGTATGAACGCTAGCAAAATTGGAAACAAGAAATTAGATCAGCAGAACAATGTAATCAACTATAACAGATGACACAAAACGCATTAGCACAAACCGATAGCGAGTGTAGTCTCCATGACGGAACCCGTGCTGCATCTGGGCAGATGTCAAGAGCTGCAATACTTCGAAAATAAATAAAAACAACAGATAAGGCAGCATCAACATCAAGTAACCAGTCCAACATGATGAATTTACAGTCGGAAAACCTCATTTTTCAAGATTAACGAAGGAAACAACAGCCAATTGACAAGGGCATACCGTTAATGGAAAATCTAGGATTATCAAGGTCAGGAACATTAGAGTTCCCTATCGAGTTCCATGGACGCCATTTGGCTCTACTACGTAATCGAGGTCTTCAAAAACAAAGAAATTACACAACAAATCGTTACACGGTAGCAAAAGGATGAATGGATATCCATGGATTCCGATTCCAATGCTGGAACAGAACTAGGGATCGGAATCTGAGATGCATTGGCGGGGAAATTAGGAGACTTAATTACCCAACTGAGGTCGCTGCAATTGCCCCGATAATCTCTGGGAAGTGGCGACGGCTGCTCTGTATCCTTGAATTGCGTCTATGAATCGCACTGTTTGGTAACTTGACGGGATGTTTCGTTTGCTTCGCTGTTTTGCCATGTTTAGTTTGTTGAGTCTGATTTAGTTGGTGCTTACTACTAGTTTGTTAAGTTTGTGTTTTATATTGATTTTATTTTATTTTGTATTTGGTTGAGTTTTAATTTTCTTTTTAAAAAATATAATTTATAAACTGATTATTTAGTTAAAATAAATTTAAGTTACGTTTTAATCTATATCTATAGTGTATAACTTTGTGTTCTATTTTTACCCTCTCATTTTAACTCTTTTCATTATTCTTTTGATGGTAATTGCGTAATTTAAATACAAATTTTTTCTCTCTCCATTTCTCTCTTCTCTCCCTCGCGATCCCACCCCTCTAAATTCTCCTCTTCCTTCATTTATGCCATAATACCTTTTAGTGTTTCATCTTCCTATTTCAATTTTGCCATATAGTATAAATCAATACTATAATTAGAAGATCATTAATGCTTCATTATCTTTATTCCATTTAACTTCTAAAAACTCTTTCATCTTCTTCATCTTTTCAAGAGATATATATATACATAGTGGGTGAGATAAATACAAAATGCAAAAGGGAGAGCACTAAAAAACTTGAGAGAAAGTGAGATTTTCGTTCTCACCATACTTAACCAAAGGGCATAGTAGAAGTCGTTACAGGGAAGACAGAGGGCATAACAGTTGTAGTCAAGGTCGCAAAATGTTGTTGCTTTAAACTTGTATTCTAGGGGTGCGATCGAGAGAGAGAGAACGGTAGTGGCGAGCCAGAAGGAGAAAGCTATTGAGACAGTAGCGGTACTGGATAGAAGAAGACGACATATAGTGAAAGGCGATACACGCGTGAAGGGAGAGGAAAGAAAAATAGGTTTCTATAATTTGTGCATTTATGTTTAGAAATACAAAATCCTTGTAGTCGGGCTTTGTTATTAGCTGAAGTTTATGGTTGAGCTACATATGACAATATTGGGTCGGTATAGGTAAAAATAGGTGAGAACTATAGTAGGTAATTATTAAGTAACTTTCCCACTTCTAATTTAGAAATAAAGTCCAATAAATAATGTATTGTATTATGTAAAACAATTATTAATTTCATTAACATGTTTAAATTCAGTTTCAATTTTGTTGAATAATTAATTATCCTTTATTTTTAAATTATAATTACAAAAAAAATTGTAAGTAAATAATATATTGTGATATTTTTTGACGATAAATGAAGAATTCTAATTAATCCCGATAAAATATTTTTATAAAAAATCATGATAAAATACAATAAGTAGTTCAGCATTCATGCAACATCGTATGTGTTGATTTAAATTCCAATAAAAATATATTCATATGAAAAAAAAAGAATTATCTAAAATATTCACATAAATAAATAATTAGGAATCGTAGAAGATACCATAAATAAATGAATAGAAAATATGTTTAAATCAATATTTTGTATTAATTAAAATTAATATAATATAATACGAATATCTAAAATATTCATATAATAATAATAAAATGTTGAAACCAACATCTTCAATTTTATAAAATTAGGTTACCTTACCATTTATCACTTTTTTTAATTAATTTTTTTTACTTAAAAATAAAACCTTCGAGTTCCACGTGCATCGCATGTGTTTCTTACTAGTTATTTTACAAAAGTTAATTTTCTTAATGAAATTGAGAAATATTATTTTAAGGATATATAAAATATTTTTAATACATTTGTCCATCTATCTTTTTTCAATGATTAATTTTTAAAATAAATATTCAATTATCTACGAAAATACTTTTCAACTAAATCAAAGTCTAAATAAGAGTATACAAATTCATTCAACATAAGAATGTTAGCAACAATTTATTTAATTTTTCACTATTTACTATTTTAAAACCTTTTAAATAATACTTGTTTAAAAACTATTAACTTCATAAGTTAAAAAAATATATAAAATTAAAATAATTCATTATACAAAATTATAACGTGTTTTACAAATGTGATTATAGTGATAACAAAAAGTAAATAAAAATTGTAGAAACAAAATGAACAACTATATAAAATGAAATAAAAAAAAACAACTAGAAATAGATACTAAGATAAAAATCTTTGGATCATTTGGAGAAAAAATTATCGATATATGATTTAATTATTTATTACATGTAATTTTAATTAAATTGATTTGCTTATTTATAATTAAAATTATAATTAATTAATTTTTCATTTATTTAATATATTTAATTAAAAAAATTAATGCATTTTAGAAGAGAGAATAAAGACAAAATATACACTTAACAAGTTGGAAAGTATGATAAAACATTGTAGCAATCTGGTGAGTGAAATAGTATTTATTGTAGCAAACCTGAGAATGTAATAGTATTTATTGGAGCAAACACGAATTTATAAAACTGTGAAGGAAACGTGGGTTTGTGTTAATAAATCCTACCTCCCGTTTTGAAAACAGAGAACCAAAACCCCAGAGTATTTTTCCAATTGGATTTTTCTCTTCAACGAAAGTGAACCAAAATCCAATGTTAAAAAATTATTTTTTGTTTTTCATCTATCCTATATATACATATATATCACGCTCACGGATAAATTTTTCCTTCCTATTTTGTATTTTTAATTTTACTTTGGAGATAATTTTATCCTTCGTTATAAAATTTTGTTTCATTTTTTCCATCTCTTTCTCTCCCATGGTGCTTACCCTTTTCAAAAAAAAAAAAAAATATTCATTTCAAAATATTTTATCTTCATTCTTATAAGTTTCACTTTTTTCAAATTTATTTTCAAAGTTATAATATAAATAGTTAGAATATGTATAGTTTTGTTTTCTTTATTTTCATGAATTAATTAAAAAATTATAATTTATTTTTAATTATAATTAATAAAGAATTTCAAATGTCATGTAACTTTTTATTTTCATGAGTATATAAAAAGTTTTTCTTTACTCTTTTTCCCAACTTCTTTTTCATCAAAACTAAGTTTTTTTCTTTCTCTTTCGCTATGTTTTTCTCCTTTAGTTAATATCTTATGTTTTCTTATATTTTAGTTAGATTGTTTGACGTAACATTCAATTTTTATTTTTTTAATGCAATGTTAATAATTTCTATTTTAAAGAATAGTTGATTACCTACACATATAACTAATCTATATCTACATCTATGATATATTAAAAAGTATGGCGTGGAAGAAACGTTTTTTGGACAAATTTAACCTTGATTTTTTGTATAATGTCTAAACTATCTTTTTATTAATTAAAAACAATGAATGAAGATTCATCCACTAATGAAGATTCATCCACTAATTTTACACACACGTAACACTCAAAAAAGAGATAAAAAAAAAACATTTCAACATCCTTATTAGTTAACACCCACTTAATACCCTTAACACTACCCCTAATTCACACACCCACTTTACTAAGTATTAATGGTTTATTAAGGCTAAATTAAAAGAAAATTATCTATGTGACTTTTCATCTTTCTCAAATTTTTAAATGTACGGACTATTCATTTTCTCACATTTTACTATATATATAGATAATTCTATGTTTGCCAATGTCATTTTACTATATATATAGATAATTCCAACCTTGCCAATGTCATTTTCTCACATTTTCTCACATTTTGCCAATATCATGAATCGTTCTTTTTTTCAATTCTATATTCAAATTTCATCTTTTTTTAGAAAATTATATCTCGCTAAAAAATTTCGAGCAATTTCAGAAATAGTTAATTATCAAAGTTATGGTTATTTGAAGAAGAACAATGGAGATCCACTTGACTGATGAAGAGGTATAATCTTTTCACAATATTATTTGTGTAATAATATTTTCACTTTATTCTTTTGCTATTTTATTTTTTAATTTTTTTAGTACAACATGTGGAGGGGATTCGAACTCACAACCAAGGTTGGAGGTATATGCCAATTAGGGCTGACCTATACTCACTTTGGTTGTTTTGTTATTCTATATTATTATTATTATGATATTTTTATTTTATGTGACGTATGATGAAAATTTTCAAGATATTGTGGAGCATACTTTGAGAAAAGTTAATCATATTTTATTATTAATGAAATTGTGAAACGAACTCATTAATAGATTTCTTGAGAAAAGTTGAGCATACTTTGAGAAACATTAATCATAGTTGATCATATAATAGATTTCTTGATTAAACCAAGATATTGAGTAATTATCAATATTAATTCAACCAACTCATTTGCCCAAAATTTCATTTATATTATAAATGTGCCGATTATTTAGATAAAAATAAGACCACATGCATGATTGATTATTTAATTTTAAATATTATAAGATATTTATTTAATATTTAATTTAAATCACAAAATATAATATGAAAAGGCTTAGTTCCATAATCATAACGTTGAATTATATTTAAATTTTGAATATTAAAAGTTTTGGAATCTGTCACTATTTAATATTAATTTTTTTTTTGTATTTTGTTACTATTTTATTTTTTACTCTTTTTCATTCATTTTCTACCACCATTTGAGTTATAATATTTTTTTTCCTCTTCTTTCTCTCTATTTTATTTTACATATTTTTATATTTCTAAATTGAATGTAGTCGTTGAACACCATAGTGACTATTGTTTAGCAAGCTCAAACATTCGTGATAGGTAATTTTTGTTTTTATTATGTGCACATCGATTTTCTTCTCCTTAATATAATTTTATAATTAATCTAAAATTTATGTTATTACTTAAAATTTTTATGGATGCTTTTAAACTTTTAAATTTTATTTTTATTTAAATTATGTTATAAATGTTTTGACCATTTATGAATGCTTAAAGTTGGATAAAATGTTGATATTTTATTTCGAACTAGAAATACGTAAATTAATTTTTATTTTTAAATTATATCAAAATAATTAATAATTATATTTAATTATAATTAATAATATAATTAAAAAGAGATGATCTACTAGCTGTTTTTTATTTCCCTTTTTTTTTCAGTGACTCAAATAAGAAATCAAAACAAAGTTTATTTTCTTGTATGCATTGTTATGTTTAAGGAAAAAAAAGAAAAGAAAAACTCATGAATATGTGTTTTT